ATTTTTACAAATAAAAGTGTTTTTTTTTTATTTGTTTGTTTGTTTTAGTCTTCTAGGTCATAATCACTAATATCTCTACAGAATTTTATGATTTTCATCTTTTACACCCATGACCCTGCTCAGGCAATGACTAACTCAGTTCACATCTAATTGTAAAACCCTCTCATTCCTGCCTCCACCATAATTTTTAATTTATCTTACCATGATCTCCATTATCACTACTTAGAAAAAGCCAGAGACTTAGTCTTTTAGTTCAGCAGTGTTTACCTGGCATATATTGGATATTTAAGAATCCTATTGGGTAATGAATAAATTAAGGAACAATGGTTCACATCCCAAGTAGGCATTGTAATACTAAATTACCCCAAAGGCCCTTCCTACTGTCTTACTTCAACACAAATGTAGTAAACCATTTTACACAATTTTTATTTATTTATTTATTTATTATTTATTTATTTATTTATTTTTACACCAAGATTTTGTATCCTTAATGAATTCCAAGTTCATGGGTATTCTTGGCTCTGGAAAATGTAGTCCTAACCCATCTTTTTTTTTTTTTTAAGGCTTTAATTTAATTTAATTTAATTTTTTAAAGTTTTTTATTAACATATAATGTATTATTTGTTTCAGGGGTACAGGTCTGTGATTCATCAGTCTTATAGAATTCACAGCTCTCACCATAGTATATACCTTCCCCAGTGTCCATCACCCAGACACCCCATCCCTCCCACCCCCTCTTCTCCAGCAACCCTCAGTTTGTTTCCTGAGATTGAGTCTTTTATGGTTTGTCTCCCTTTCTGGTTTCATCTTGTTTCATTTTTCCCTCCTTTCCCCTATGATCCTCTGTCTTGTTTCTCAAATTCCTCATATCAGTGAGATCATATGATACTTGTCTTTCTCTGACTGACTTATTTTGCTTGGCATAATACCCTCTATTTCCATCCATGTCATTGCAAATGGCAAGATTTCATTTTTGATGGCTGTGTAATATTCCATTGTATATATATATACCACATCTTTATCCATTCATCCGTTGATGAACATCTTGGCTCTTTCCACAGTTTGGCTATTGTGGACATTGCTGCTATAATCATTCGGACACATGTGCCCCTTCGGATCACTACAATTTTATCTTTGGGGTAAATACCCAGTAGTGCAATTGCTGGGTTGTAGGGTAGCTCTATTTTCAACTTTTTGAGGAACCTCCATATTGTTTTCCAGAGTGGCTACACCAGCTTGCATTCCCACCAACAGCGTAGTTTCCCCTTTCTCTGCATCCTCGCCAACATCTGTCATTTCCTGACTTGTTAATTTTAGACATTCTGACTGGTGTGAGGTGGAATCTCATTGTGGTTTTGATTTGGATTTCCCTGATGTCAAGTGATGTGGAGCACTTTTTCATATGTCTGTTGGACATTTGGATGTCTTCTTTGCAGAAATGTCTGTTCATGTCTTCTGCCCATTTCTTGATTGGATTATTTGTTCTTTGGGTGTTGAGTTTGATAAGTTCTTTATAGATTTTGGATACTAGCCCTTTATCTGATATGCCATTTGCAAATATCTTCTTCATTCTGTCGGTTGTCTTTTGGTTTTGTTGACTGTTTCCTTTGCTGTGCAAAAGCTTTTTATCTTGATCAAGTCCCAATAATTCATTTTGGCTCTTGTTTCCCTTGCCTTTGGCGGATGTTTCTAGGAAGAAGTTGCTGCAGCTGAGGTCGAAGAGGTTGCTGCCTGTGTTCTCTTCAAGAATTTTGATGGATTCCTGTCTCACATTTAGGTCTTTCATCCATTTTGAGTCTGTTTTTGTGTGTGGTGTAAGGAAATGGTCCAGTTTCATTCTGTATATGGCTGTCCAATTTTCCCAACATCATTTTTTGAAGAGACTGTCTTTTTTCCATTGGACATTCTTTCCTGTTTGTCAAAGATAAGTTAACCATAGAGTTGAAGGTCCATTTCTGGGCTCTCTATTCTGTTCCATTGATCTAGTGTCTGATTTTGTGCCAGTACCATACTGTCTTGATGATTACAGCTTTGTAGTAGAGCTTGAAGTCTGGAATTGTGATGCCACCAGCTTTGCTTTCTTTTTCAACATTCCTCTGGCTATTCATGGTCTTTTCCGGTTCCATGCAAATTTTAGGATTATTGTTCCATTTCTTTGAAAAAAGTGGATGGTATTTTGATAAGGATTGCATTAAATGTGTAGATTGCTCTAGGTAGCATTGATATCTTCACAATATTTGTTCTTCCAATCCATGAGCATGGAACCTTTTTCCATTTCTTTGTGTCTTCCTCAATTTCTTTCATGGAACATTTTCTATTTCTTTGTGTCTTCCTCAATTTCTTTCATGAGTATTCTATAGTTTTCTGAGTACAGATCCTTTTCCTCTTTGGTTAGATTTATTCCTATCTTATCTAACCCATCTTTTTATATAATTTCTACATAACCTTTTTCACATGTTTCATGTTCTTTTTTTTTTTTTTTAAGATTTTATTTGTCACAGAGAGAGAAAGCACAAGCAGGGGGAGCTGGAGAGGGAGAAGCAGGCTCCCCGTTGAGCAGGAAGCCCAATGCGAGGCTCAATCCCAGGACCCTGGGATCATGATGTAAGCTGAAGGCAGACGCTTACCCGACTAAGCCACCCAGGCGCCCCTTGTTTTTGCCAAACTTACATACTCATTGTTCACTCTCCCCTCATATACTTCCTTCACATACTTTCCCTCCACCTGAAATGTACTACAAATACTACCATGACCAAATGCTATCTTTATTCAAGGCCTAGCACAAGTACCATTTAAATTGTAAATTCTTCCCTGATTACTCCATTTTTCTAAAAATAGTCCGTGTTAAAGAGGGCATGTACTGAATGGAGCACTGGGTGTTACATGCAAACAATGAATCATGGAATGCTACATCAAAAACTAATGATGTAATGTATGGTGATTAACATAACATAATAAAAAAATAAAAATAACCATTTTTCCTTGAAATCCCATCTCATTGTGTATATACTCTTTTAGCACACAACATCTGGACTTGTATCATATTTATTTTTTGCAGAAATTCACTCTTCCCTACCACATTGCAGACCCCTTAAGAATAGAAACCCAGGAGTATTTATCACTGTAGTCTCCCCTAGGACTAGGTGACAAATAGCAGGTGCTCAGTAACCATTTAAAAATAAATCATTGCTTTTATGGTCTTTAAGGCATCCAGTCTGGCCTATTGTTTGTCTCCAAATTTTTCTTGGGCACAGTAATTTCTGTCACATACAAGTAATCATGGTCAAGTGTTTGAAATTATTTTATTATTTCCAACCAAATAACAGAGTTCAGAGAATCTGAAAGGAACATTCACTAGAGGATAAAAGCATAATGATTTTTAGATATACATTAGAAATTTCTTTTGAAAATATGGGATCTAGCCCTAATGATGCATGTATTCATTTGCTAGCATAGCTATAACAAATACCACAGGCTAGGTGGCTTTACAACAGAAATTAATTTCTCATAGTTCTGGAAGCTGGGATTCTGGATCAAGGTGTTGACAGGGTTGGTTTCTCCTGAGGTCTCCTTGGTTTGTGTCTTTACACAGACTTCCCACTGTGTCTGGACTCTAATCTCCACTTCTCATAAAGACACAATCACACTGGATTTAAGTCAATTACTTCTTTAAGGACTTTATCTCCAAACAGAGTCACATTCTGAGGTATTGGGGGTTGGAGCCTCAACATATGATTTTCAGGGGATATGGTTCAGCCCATAGCATTGCAGCTGCAACTTTCATAAGTCATTCAATGCTCTTGGACTTAGCCTTTTCTTTTGTAAAACTGCATTTTTTCATCCTTTCTAAAATTCCTCTCAATTCAGTATCTTTAATTTCTCTATGGATCATCACTCTTTTGTAATGCATTCTCTAGAATATATCTTACTGAACGTCACCATCATTCATGCACCTTATGAAACGTGGAACTTTGCAGTCATCTTGGTTCTTCTTTCTCCCCTACCCTCAATCCAACCAAACACCTCTACCTGCTTAATGGCTCTTCCTGACTCTCACTTCCTTTCTCAGCTGAGCCCATGTGGATCTTCTTGAAGTTTCTTTGCTTTCACTAGTCTGTCTTCATATTGCCATTATGTGATCACTGCAATTTTCCCCATTGTCTAGAGACTATAATATCTAAATGAATTTATAGGACTGTTAAGGCCCCAATTTTCTTTACTGCCTTGATTCCCACCAACACTGCCCCTGTGCCTTTTACCCTCCACAGCAGTTTATGTTCCTGAGATACTGACCTGTTTGTGGTGCCCATGCTTTGGCCAAACTTTTCCCCTTTTGTCTGAAATGCCTTTTTCCCTGCTTGTTTTTCTGAATGATTTTGTTATGTGTACTTACAGTTCAAATGCTTTTTCCCATGTGAGGCCTCCCTTACTTCCTGAGGCAGAACCGAGAGAAACTTGTCTTCTGCTCTTCTTTTGCTTCTGATATACCGTCATTATCTAATTGGCTTAACACTGTGATTTATTGATCTGTCATTCCACTAAGTCTTAAGCTCCTTGAGACCTTGGATTGTTTGCTTTATCTTTGAAGTCTAATAAACATTTGTTTAGGGAATGCTGTTTATGAAAACCTAAGTACAAAGATTAAGTAAAATATAGATTTGTTGAATTAATGTTAATATTTATTAAGATTTTTAAAAATATGTAACTCTACTCATTTGATTTTAATTCCATTCTTTTAAAACTTACCTGTTTCAGATATTAGATCCATATTCAATATTTTGTCACATATAGGGAACTATTTATTAGCTTAGACACTGGATGACTTGGATTCATTAAGTTTTGGTTAAAAAAAGTTAAGAAAAATTATGTTGGCTTTGAAGTTTCTTTTGCCCTCTAGGTATGTGCTTACAGAATAGAGCATTTCATCAAACTGTGTTAGTTATCTGCTTTGTTGGTACTATTTCAATTCCCACATTCCTTTCCTTCATCTCCTTTTTTAGATAAACAAGCTGGAGGCACGTCTCAGGCAGGCGGGATGCACAGATGATAAAGGGATGCGAAGAAAAGACAATGAACACTGGATGAAAGAAGACTGCATTAGCTGTATGTGTAAGGTATGTGTTGCTAGAAGTTTTTCCATATTCCTCCTCCTGTTTTACTTCTGCTAGCTTGCCAGTTGAGACAAACCTGAAAAATTCAAGAGAGAAAAATGTTCTTTTTTTGTGAATAGATTCTAGGCATATTTTTAAGGTCAAGATATTGATGTGAGATTTTGAGGTTTCTGATTATTGATATAAATATGCCACTATCTCATGAACACTTGCCAAATACCACGTGGGCTTTTCATATTTTCACTAATAACTGAGAGAGCTGACACTCAGGATGTTTACTGAGCTTTGCCCAAGATTACACAAATAGAGGCAGAAATGGGGCTTAAATTCATCGCCTTATTCTCCAGTCAGACTCACTACAAAAGTTGCCTGAAAGCATTTGGTAAATATTAAAAAAATGTTATCATGATACCCACCAAAAGAGAAAAGCTCAGTCTTTATTTAGTTTGTTTTTTGGACAGCTGATAGCAATCACTCCTGCCTATCTCCACACCTCAAGCCCTCCGGTTTGGGAGGTAACATTTTATAGGCCAGTACTTCCAGCCTTGCTTTTTCATGATGCAAATGTAAAAATAAAGCATTAATAGGAACTACATGTATAAATTAGCTCATACCATGGGTAATTTTTATTATATTGAGATAGTCAGACAATCAGATTACATATTATAAGAAACTTTTAAAAAGGTAATTCCACTGTAAGAAAAATGGGAATAATCTTTGAATGTTGCCTTTCAGAGTGGCCAGGTCACCTGTATGGTGGAGACTTGTCCTCTGGCTCCATGTCTCAGTCTTGAATTGGTGAAAGGAACCTGCTGTCCAGTTTGCAGAGACACGGGAATGCCAGCTGATTCCCCAGAGAACCGCTAAGCAATTTACTGCTCTTGAGCCCTGAATGGAGAATTTCTCAGGAAAAGGCAGTCAGGCACTTTTATTTAACCTGTGGTCACATTCCTGGCACAGAAATCACTGATCTAAAACAAATTAGTTCATTTAACCCTTCAACATATTGATGATCTTGCATCTTTTCATTTTCTAACATACCTTGAAGTAATGCAAAATTAATGTCTATAAAGAAGATAGGGATTACTTTATTGTGAGAAATATTTCTTATTGTAAGCTACCAGTTTTATATACTGTACAAGGAAATAAAAAATTTCATGCAATATTTTTAAAAAATCTGAGTATTGTGGAAAATCTCTCATTTCAAAATTCAGAGAGATTATATGATCTCCAGGAATTTTGAGAGAATGGGTTTTGCACTCAGAGAAAACATCTGGAAAGATCTGTGATAACTTTGGCACATGTAATACATACTGCTTTCCTCACTCCGTCTCTCACATCTAGAACCTAGATAATGGCTAGATGTTTCTGGAAAGGCACTTACCTTAACCATCAGTAGGCTCTAACTTCTAGAACATTAGGGAAAAGTGAGTGAAAGTATTATTTGGAGGAGCTTGCCATTTTTACATTTGGCTAGAAAATACAAACACCATGAAGGGAAGATCCTTCAAAGGAGCCTTGCTCAATCTCTGCCTTTCCGTCACTTGTCATTATGATCACCAGTGAGATGTCGAAATTGAAATTTATCAAGTCTGAACAATTCAGGAACAAGCTGAGTTTACTATCAGAAAAATTGGAAATGTTTTTGACTTTAACAAAAGTTGTTGCTATGAGGTTTCTTCTAATTTTGGCACTCTGTTATAGCATTTAAAATACAATCCAATAGACAATAGGTTAGCTATATTCAGAATTGAATATTTAGCAAATTAGGTGAGTTTCACTTAATAAATTCTTTTAAACTATGGTGCAGCCACAGTATTTGGGGTTGGTTGCAGTTGTTGTAGATTTGTTTAAGAAATTCTTTGTTCCAGGACTTTTGAGGAGAGACTTCATGTAGTGTCCTGCCCATTGGGACTCTCAGGGTGATAACTCTACTGTTTTCCAATTACAAAATAAACATTTAACACCAGGCACAAAATCTCCCAATATTTAGAAGTATTATGTAAAATACAGTATTCATTGTAGTGAAAATATTTTCATGGTTTTAATATTATGAGTGAGGAAAGATGTTTTCAGAGTTTGATAATACAGGTCATTATTTTAAAAATGTATTGGTGACTCCCTCCCAAGATACAAAATAATTTTTTACTAAAAAGTTTAAGGACAAAACTATATGTCCTAAAAGTTTGATGTTTGATACATTTTTAAGTCCAAAATAATTTCTAATTATATTTCACTTTGAAAGACAAAATGTAACAAGTCGCAAAAGCTTGACATTTGGTGGCCTTTCAAAACCCAACAAAGTGAAATGAAGCTAAACCTTATGGAAGTATAATTAGTTCCTCTGAAACTACAGTAAACATATTGCAAATGACAATAATACATGTAATAGTTTAGGTTTCTCATCATGTTCATTTGTCATTTTATCATTTTATTAAAGTTTAAGCAAGACCTGTATGATATCTCATATGATTTTTTGTCCATAACCACATGTTAATTTGGATGCCACCTGGTCAGTATGTTTGGCTTGTTGAACATAAGCAAATATCAAAATAACAGAATAAAATTATCATTTAAAATGGAACATGGGGATTTAAAAACTTGTCTGTCAACTGACAATTTGAAAATTCAGTAACCTTTACAAATATGGTTATAATATCATCATACAGATTACCTTTTGCTTTATTCATTTTACTTGTATTTCATTTATTTGACTGTGTTTTTAAAAATGTTTCATTTTGGAAGTATTATTGTGCATAATAAAAATTTCAAGTATTTCCCAAGGATATATAAACCTTTGTATTCCATTTCTGCAGTCCAAAGGTGAATGTTATTTTCAGTTTTGTATGTGTGTGTCTGTGTGTGTGTGTGTATTACTCTATACAGTTTCTATGCAACACAAATATGATGATGTTTCTTCCTTAATGATTTTGTCTATTCCAAAGAACCTTAAAACATTGAAAATCCAAATGTATTTGTTAACAATATTTGATATATTATATTCTGCCATGAAATTTGCTTGAGGTAAAATTTAATGTTTTTTACATGTGACACTTTTCTGATCTGGGGCAGAGGAAGTATCCATGAGGAGGTATACACAAAGAAGATGAAAGCATTCTTGGGCTCACTTTTTGCCTGATTTCGTCTGCTAAAGAAAAGCAAAGATTTTTAACCAGGATGTATGATTATGTGAAAAGGTAGAAAAATAGCTCCTTTCTTTCAGGGGCTCTTTAATGTCTACTTTGTACCTCCTATACCTAAGTGGCCACACTGCACACAGAGCTACATGACATATAGTTGAAGGGATATAGACAGCTTTTATTTGAGACTGGAGATTAAAAATAGAGCATTTACCTGACAAATAGTCTTTAATGCTCACAGAAGGCAAATAACAATGTTTAAGACAGAGTTTTTATGTTGGCCTGTTTATTTTCTAGATCTGTATGTTATGGGGCAGAGGTAGGAAAATCTGTTGGGAATTTTGGTAAGGATTTTTTTGTTTAATTGTGAAATGGTGTTAAAATAGATTTACTGAACTGTAATTACTACAAATACCCCATTGCCCAATGTCATGTATAATGCATTTTCATTTGCAAATAAAATATAGTTTATTAGTAAGTTAAATTGAGGTCATGGATATCTCACACAGAAATCCTATATTCCAGTTTAAGAAAGATGTGTTTTATTAAAAGCCATATTTAGGTGAGTGTCCTCAACATTTATTGGCATGGTAGGGTTTGTAAAAAACAATGTAAACTTTTTTATTCCTCATGAATATACAAAATGAGGGACGGTGTACTAAATATAAGTAGTGCTAAAGTCTGTACCTTAAATATAACTGCATATGCTATGTTTTTAGTCCTTGCTTTTGTTTCAAGCATCAGAAATGAATCAGTGTTTAAATTTGCATCTCAAACATAAACTAGACAGAAAGAATAGATAATATTTCCTGAAATTATGAAGCTCATTTTGTGTTCTAAACATACTTTGTGAAACAAGAGAGGAGAATTTCTTTAAACTTAATTATTAACAAAAATGGTTCAACTCTAAGGCTCTGGCTCATATATATATATATGTTTATTTATTATATACACAACAATATTATATCTATATATAATATGTATTATGTGTAAATAAAATTAAAATAGTGTTATCTTTTCTTATATCTTGCACCTAAATGTTGGTACACATTTGGAATTTGTGTGTATGGGAATAATCCAATGTAAAAAATTTTAAATTGCATTTTTATCTTTAGAAAGAGTATGTACTATCTAATTGTTTATTCGTCATTTATCTAGTTATCCATCATCCATATTTTGGTCAATGGACTCTGGAAAATGTTCTTTTTTTCTTTCTGGAGAATATTCTTAATTCCATGTATGTTAATATATCCTAAAACATTGGGAATAAATGAAGATCATTTTTTTTTAAGTAGGCTCTACACCCAGAATAGAGCCCATGGGGGCTTGAACTCACAACCCTGAGATCAAGACCTGAGCTGAGATCAAGTGTTGGATGCTTAACTGACTGAGCCACCCAGGTGTCCCTAGGAATAAATGGAGGTCATTTAAGAAAGGATCTCTGACTTAAAATTTTAAAATAAATTGTTTTTATCACATTATTTGATAAAAATTACTTGCTAACTACTTAAAATACATAAAATGTACTTAGTATAATATATGAATATGATAAACAACACTAATTCATGGTGTCATTTTTTTTTAAGAACACAACTATTTTCTCTAAAAGGTAAGGAGCTTCATTCAAATCATTCTAATTTTTTTCTCCTGTGGAACAATTACTTAAGAACATTTTCAAAGAATCATTCACTAAGAGAGTATCTGATTGACCAACACAGGAGAAGGCACATAGACCTAGGTCTTATATAGAATGGCATGCCCAGGTCTAGGAGGAGCTAGAATGATAATTCTAGTGAATTTTGAGTTGGTAGAGATTCCAATTGTTCAAATTTAAAAAGAAAATACCATGTCAGACTAAAGGTGTTGAATAAAGGCTAAATAAGCTGATTTAAATTACCCACATGAAGTGGTAACAATGTTTTGGGTGTGTAGGAACCAAATCTAGTTAGAAGAAAACTTGGATTGGGGTGCCTGGGTGGCTCAGTCAGTTAAATGTCTACCTTCAGCTCAGGTCATGATCCCAGGGTCCTGGGATCAAGTCCTGAATGGGGCTCCCTACTCAGCGGGGAGCCTGCTTCTCCTTCTCCCTCTGCCCATGCTTGTGCTCTCCCTCTGTCAAATAAATAAATAAAATCTTTTTTTTTAAAGAAGAAAACTTGGAGTTTTAGAGACTTAAAATCCTCTAAACAATAGAAAGTATTAAGCAATCTTGTTTCTGGAAAAGCATGTGGAAGAAACAATATAATTTACTAGCAGGGTTAGGGACTATGTGGTTGGTATGGGAAGCTCAGTCTAGAGCAAATGAAACCCAAATAAAAAGAAAAAACAATTTATAAAGGAAAAACATCAAACTGGATGTAACTATGAAGAGAGGAGTTTAGAGTGAGAGCTGAAGGAACAGGTCTGGAACCCACACGGATGTATGCTCATGATTCTGGAGAACATCCAGTTTGGTCATTGTTAAAGACCATGTGAAGATGTGAAGTTTAAATTTACATGATCATTGAGGTGTAGAAATCCCAAGCTACAAAATTAAGGAAAACACTTGGCTTGTGCCAATAAAGAAATCACAAACTCAAAATTTTAAGTGTAGTAACTGAAATAATAGAAATATATAATTTTCATTCAGAAAAACATGATCAATTCAAAAGAAGGTAAGAAAACAAAGAAATTAAAATTTTGGTTAATGGAAAATTTAATATAATAGTAACAAATTTAAATATATTT